GCTCTCTGTCATTGTACAATGCTTCCTACAAATGGCAACAACGTGATTTAAATAAAAAGTTGAGGGTAATAATGGAATAATAATAAAAATTCCGCGGAGTCTCATTGGTAGGGCTCGTAAAACTCTTGAAAATCTTGTGAAAGCCTCTCTTCTTTTACATCTCTCGATCTTCGATCTTTCTCCTCGACCTCACAAGTCTGGGTTTAGAAGAAGAAGAAGAACGAGCGTGCTTCCCCAAACCCTAAAAGATGTCCGGCGGATTCTTCCGGGTGAGTTTTCGATCATCTTCTTTCATGAATACTGCGATTGATGTATCATCTTTCTTTAGATCCAGATCGATGCAATTCAAATTTCTCGAGCCCTTGAGTTTTGATTTTGATTTCTCTTTTGTTCGAGTTTCAGGGTACTTCCGCCGAGCAGGATACTCGGTTTTCTAACAAGCAAGCGAAATTGATGAAAAGCCAGAAATTCGCTCCGGAGTTGGAGAATCTGGTCAGTTTCCTTTCCCGGCTAAGATGAGGGGAATTTTGCACCCAATTTCTTTGTGTACTCTTCCAATTTAACGATTCATAAATAGTTTGGTGCATTCGTGAATTCTGAATCAATTTGAGTCTAAATTCGTAGTTTTGATTCAACTCTTGGATAATCATGTGCATATGAAATTAACTTTGGGGAGGGCTTAATGGTGTATCTAATTACCGGTTGTGGTAACTGAAATCTCTGCTTGGCTTGGTGTTAGGTCGATGTGACTAAAGTGAAGATGGATGTTATGAAACCTTGGATTGCGACTAGAGTCACTGAGCTTCTTGGTTTTGAAGATGAAGTGCTGATCAACTTTATATACGGTCTGCTTGATGGGAAGGTAGCTAATATCCAAGCTTTGCTTTTTCTATTACTTAACCTTGTTTTATTCGATAGAAAGTTGTTTCTATGATATTTATTTACTGGAGGGTGTATCTGTTATCAGTGTTGTTGGTTGATGTTTACTTGAGATAGAGGCTAATATGGTTCATAGCCATGTTATGAATACAAGTGAGCTTTTTTCGGTACTGGTAGCCTTTTGTTGGACTAATATCCAATCGAATGATGTTCCTAATGTAGGTAGTGAACGGTAAGGAGATTCAAATATCGCTAACTGGATTCATGGAGAAAAATACTGGCAAGTTCATGAAAGAACTCTGGACACTTCTTCTAAGCGCACAGACTAATTCAAGTGGTGTTCCACAGCAGTTCTTAGATGCCAGAGAAGCTGAAACAAAGAAGAAACAGGTATTCCTGGGAAGTCATTTTGTAGTTAAAATTGATCCTGAATGACTTTTGCTTCTCCTGTTGTCTCCTGATTATTTTCCTTCTGTGGCAGGAAGAAGCAATAGAAAAAGCAGATCAGTTTCTAATTGAAATAGGGAAAAAGAGGGAGGGAGAAAATAAGAACCGTGAGCATGATATATTGAGGAAAATAGTAAGACTAACTTATTCATGCTAGAGTTTCAGTCTTTACAGATGCTCTTCTGCTTTTAACATCCGCCTGTTCTTTTCATGTTATTCAGATAGCTTCTGCAATTATTAGGGTTCATGTGCTTTACCTCAAACTACTGTAGGACAGCGGCGTGGAATCCAAGGTGGCAAATGGCATGGAGACAAAACCTTCAAGAGATCGTCCAGAGGACGAGGGAAGAGCTGATGAGAAGAATGGAGTAAAAGAAAGGAGAAGGTAGAGTTCTATTAATGCCTATTTTTTTTCATTACCTATCTTGCAACTACCAGGCATAATTTTTTGAAATTAGATAGAGCACTTCTGTTTTCTATTCATCACTATGCCCTTGTGTTCTTTATCAAGTTGTGTAGTTGGAGTCTGGGAATGTGTCCTATTATAAATGATTGAGTCCATCCTTCTGTTGTACGTGAATAATCTTTATTAATTTCTCTGGCATTGTTTGTTCAAGCATCTATTTGTGGCTAAGAGTATAATATGCGAGTGTGTTTTGACATTGCCATCCTGATGCAGGGATCTGATATCTTCACGTCACAGAGATGCATCCCGCTCACCCCTCCGGTAATTCTTGAATCGTTTTGTTCTTCTAACAACATTTCTATGTGAATGTATTAATTCATTGCTCTGCAGAGGTTCACATTCTAGGTCGATCAGCAGAGCAAATTCAGGATCCAGAAGTTATTCTGGGTATCTGCCTTACCGTTATTATTTTTTTAAATCCAGACTCGTTAGTTCTGTATCTTTTATTATCTGTATATCCTAGTGCACTCTCTGCTAACGGCTCTGGTCTACTTGTGCAACAGTAATCGGAAATCAAGGAGCTTGTCTCGATCATCAGATGCCTCCATCTCACCTAGAAAGCAAAGATCATCAACTTTTAAGCGTAGATCCAGGTCACGTTCCTTGTGCAGGTCTCTGTCTCCTCGGCGACGTAGAAGACATTCTCCCAGTGGAAGCAGGTCACGGTCACCTATTAGACGTCATAGATCACCATCACCACAAAGGCGTCGCCGTGTATCTACACCTGAGAGACGCCGTCAATCACCACCCTCTTTTAGGCGTCGCAGGTCTCCATCCCCCTTTAGGCGTCGTAGGTCACCACCATCCCCACTTGCTAGGAGGCGTAGGTCACCATCACCACCTGCTAGGCGACGTAGGTCACCGTCACCGCCTTCTAGGCGTCGCGGGTCTCCATTGCCCTATAGGCGACGTAGGTCTCCTTCATCGCCAGCTAGGCGACGCAGGTCTCCATCTCCACCCTATAGGCGTAACAGGTCACGGTCACCACCGGCTAAGCGTGAAAGGTCTGACTCACCAAGGAGGTCTCCCTCACCAGTGGCTAGGTGCAGGGCACCGGCTGGGCAAAGGTTGCCTTCTCCACCCGCTGTACAAAGGTTGCCTTCACCACCCCCTAGACGTGCAGGATCACCTTCACCAATTAGGATTGGAAGACCTCAGTCAGCCAATCACCTTAAATCACCATCACCCAGTTCACTGTCTCCTCCTGGTAGGAAAAAAGGATTACCATCTCCACCTGTTAGAGGACGCCATTCACTGACACCTGCCAAAGAGCGAGTCTCCTTATCACCAGCTGGATGTTCTGAAAGAGAATCCCCGACACATGTCAAGCTGGGTGGATCGAAGTCACCTGCTAGAGGTCGAGGTAGATCTTCTCCTTCCTCTCGACATCAGAAAGCGCGCTCTCCTGTTCGGCACAGATATCCAACACCTGTCAACCGGCGAAGTCGAAGATTGCCATCTACCTCACAATCACCACATGACAGCTGTAGGAGACGCTCTCCATCATGGAGCAAATCTTTGTCTAGGTCGCCCTCACCTCCTGTTCGTCGTAGATCTCCTTCACCAAGTGGAAGAAAACAGTGGAGGGATGGAAAATCTCCTGGACATCCATCTGAAGAGCAAGATAGGTACACTCTTCCCGTCTCCATTTACTCTTTTTTTCTTGTGTGTAAATGCCTTTTAACATAAGGTGCTATAAACTCTTTTAAGGTATGTGCAGAGTCTTCTTATCTATAGTTGTTAACTCTTTAACCATCTGTCTGCTTTTGCATTGCGTACAGAGAGGACAGGGATGTAAAATCCAAGCTGTTAAAGAAAACTTCAGTGCAGTCACCTGATTCTGATAAGAGGAAACAACTACCGGAGAATGTGCAAGAAGTTGGGCGTGTAGAACATGGGAAGGAGCAAGAGAGAAAGAGGTGCATTTTGTTTCTTTTTCTTTCTCCATATGATATTCTTTTGACTTAAGATTTTATGGTCTGTTAAACGTTGGTCTATTCATCTTCTTAACAGTGGAAAGTTGCCAGAGAGGCGTTCTGGTCACAGAATCCAGGGTTCACAGATGTCCCCAGTTTCACCAAAGGACTCCGATAGAGTAGAAAACTCAGAAGGAAAAAGACAGCCTCCTTCATATAAAATGAAGGACAGTGAGCAGGTTGAGAAAGAAAATAACAGCGACCTGAATGCAAACCTTTCTTCTGATTCTAAGGAAAGTGGCAGGCATCGAACTAAGGATAAAAAGAGAAGAAAGCATAAAAGGTCTGAGAGAGAAGAAGTATCCTCAGGTGATAATGGCAGCTCTGATTCTGACCTAGAAGATAGGAAGGAGGCTAAAAGGAGGAGGAAAGAGGAAAAGAAAATGAGAAAGGAAGAGAAGAAACGCAGGCGAGAGGAGAGACGTCGTAAAAGGGAAGAACGTCGTGGTGAGAAGCTGAAACTGAAGAGTCGAGAGCAATCTGATTCCTCAGAGGGTGAAGCTGAGATCCATCCTAAGAATAAAAAAGGGGAGGAGTCAGATCCAAAGAGGCTTGAGATTGAGTTGCGAAAGAAAGCACTCGAGTCATTGAAAGCAAAGAAGGGAATCAGCCACTAAATCCTTATCCTATTATCTGAGAATCCAGCGTTTATGGAACATGGCTTTTTAAGATACACTGTCTTTTGGTAGATTTATCTTTTATGTTGTGCTTCTTATTTTCTCCAAGCTTTGCTTATGTACTCTGTTTGTTGGTTGGCAGCAAAATTGGACAAGTGACAATTACTCTGCTATTCTTGAGTTGCAGACATTCATGGCTGATCTTCTGGTAATAGTTTCTTGCATTGAGTAGTTTTTATAATAACTAGGTATTGTGATTGTCTGGGAATTCTTGTTTAGCTTCTGCGGTTGCGTGTAGTACTAATCGTTGGTGAACTAAAATGGCAAATGTCATTTTATACTGAAACTTGGTTTGGATCTTTTTTTAGATGAGTTTAGTGTCAACTAGAGAACTTGGTTAAGGGGATATTTTTGCGGATCCTCTGATTTGTAACTAGACTCAGGTAAAATACACGATCTCTTTTTTTACAATCAGATTTGTTGTACATTCTCTTCTGAATCTCTCTATTTTTCTGTTTGTCGACTGATGCTTGCAAAACCGG